GATCGACAGAGGGCAAGTGGGTTTGCAGGCTTTTTTGGCTATTTTAGTCACAAAAAACTTGCACGGAACTAATAGCCATAACAAACAAAACATCACATCCAACCCATAATCATTACATTCTTCTCTCACAAAAAAAGTCAAAAAAATCAAAAAGCCAAAAAGCCCTTCCCAAACCAAGCTTTTTAGCCCAGGCTAAAATAGCCAAAAAAGTCAAAAAGCCAAAAAACCAACCCACTTCCCAAACGGAGGCTTTATAGTGTACTAAAACGACGTTGTTTGTAAATAATAATAATAATAAAAAAAAACCCAACTCCAGCAATCACCCTATTTAACAATCCTCTCTAGCAACCATCATTGTCCACCCTTGCACTACCGCCTTCTCCCGAACCTATCCACCCACCCACTCTTGCACCACCACCACTAGCACAACGCTAGATCTAAGGTTTTGCATCATCGTTGCCACCTTGCCTCTCTCATTCTCTCGCTCTTTGTTGATCTCTCAATTTGAGAATGAAGAAGAAGAAGATGAGGCGGTGATTTTGGAAGAAGAAGAGAAATATTGCAATTTCAAAAGGAAAATGGTGGTGGTGGGGTGAGAGAAAAACGAGAAGAGCTGAAACTGGTGGCCGGAGGCTGGGTCACTGTGGATTTCAAACATAAAAGTGGGGGGAAAAAATACATTTGTAGTGCTATAGAAAATTAATTTTCCCAAATGGTGTGATTTGTAATCTAATTCCATGAGATTTTAGGTAAAAATACTATTTTGTCTTTAATTTGTAAAAATAGTAAAGTCAAATTTAATTTAACAATTTTTTTGACATAATCTTAATCAATACTAACAAATTAATACACAACCATATTTTATCTTACATTTTAACTTCATCACCACACTAAACATGACAACTGTTTCAATCATGTGATGACAAATCATGTGACAAATCATATCGTAGTTGGATGAATAAGACATAAGGAAATTATTCAATGTTCTCCGAGTACTATGTGTTCATATTTCTTAACTAATTATTATTTAATATGTCTTTTCGTGTTACTCAATCACCTTATACAATACTCTACTTACTCACATCGTCCACCAATCACAATATTATAAAATATTACGTGTTTATATTTCAGAATTACTGAATAATTAAACTAACACATAAAAAAGAAAGAGTGAAATTTGGGAAAGAGGATCCCAGCAGTTCTCTCCTTTTTAAGGCTTATTTTAAAAAGTTAATTTTTTAATTTTTTAATTACATGTGTCTTTATTTATTTATTTATTTATTTATTTATTTATTTTTACGTTTAAAGAAAAAAACTAACAAAAATTAAAACACTAATTTTTAACTACTTTTCAAAACAGGCCTAAACCATCCAAAGATTTCAAACAGTCATAATTTCTGGGGAGGATAGAAAGTTTTTTATTTTTATTTTTTATTAACGAATAAATTTTTTGCTCTGTGGATTTCGGAATCAATTACTTAAGGCCTATTTTAAAAAGATGGTAAAAAGTAATTTTTTAATTTTTATCTAAGTTTTTAGTTTTTTTAGACAAATGATTTGAGAAGTTAATAAAAAGTGGCTTTTGGCTTTTTTTTATTAATATTTGTTTATGATGTCAAATCATAATAAAATGACCAAATTATCCCTATTTAGTTTAAAATATTTATAACTTCACTTATGTAACACATTTTGACCCATAAGGGGTAGAATTGTAATTTTATCATTGGCTAAAAACTAACTTCTCAAATGAAAAAAAAATTCAAAAAAATCAACTTTTGACTTTTATTACAAACCAAAAAAAGTGACTAAAAGCCAACTTTCCAAAACAAGCCTAAGCTTTGTTTGGGAAGTAATAGTTTTAGTTTAAAACTAAAAAGTTAATAAAAAAAATTAAAAAACTTATAACCTATATCAAAAAGTCAAAGATTTACTTTTCTCTGTATTTTTTGTATATTTTTCGTAAAAAATTAAAAAGCTATTCCAAACATATAAATTTTTTTTATCTCATATTTTAGTCAAAAATTAAAAATTACTAAAATAACTTATTCCAAACAAGGTTTTAATGTCAATTTAATCGGGATAGGTCGAGAGACAAATTTCGAGTGTGTACACTAAGAGCATCTCTAATGGTGAATCAGATTTTTCATCAAATCCGAGTACAAAATGACTCGTTTCACCAAATCTGGTACCAGATGCTCCAACGGTTCACCTTTCACCAAATCTGTTCGGGACAACCGGGTGGTCGACCGGCCGGTCGACCGGTTAAGGAATTTTTTTTTGGAACTGTTTCGAACTTTTTTTTGAACTGTTTAAATCTTTTACTGGTTGACCGGTTGGTCAACCGGCCGGTCGACCGGCTGGTCGACTGGTTGGTATCACCCCAACGATTAGTAACAGTGATTTGGTGAAATGCTTCGCCTGTTCTCAGTCTGATGAAATGTTTGGTGAAATCTCATTTTGATATCGATTTGATGCAACCGTTAGAGCATCAAATAGTAACTTTTTAACCAAATTTTAAATTTGATGCTGGGTTTGATAAACCGTTGGAGATGGTCTAACTCTACAATATACACACTATTCAAATTAAAAAATAGAATTGTGAAAATTCGATCCCATACCTAAATCTAGATATCATTCACCCAGCACTAAGACCATCTCCAATGGTCATTAAATCCATCATCAAATCTAAATTTGATGAAAAAGGTAATTTTTTACTTCTCTAATGGTTCATCAAATTCATCATCAAATTCAAGATTTTACTTTGCTTTCATCAAACTGAAGATAAATGTATCTTTCATCAAATCACTGTTTATTCTCGTTGGATTTTCACCACTGAATGTCCCATTGGATATCCTCTTAGATGACCACTTCAAGATAAAAGTTTATAAAAAAAATTATACTGGTCGGTTGACTCCTCGGATGATCACCTAAAGATAAAAACATATGAAAAAATTATACTGTCCGGTCGATTGGCTGGTCATCTATCTAGTCAACTAGTGATTTGATGAAATTACAAATTCTTCTATTAATGAACTTTATATTAAAAAAATAATTTACTCGAAATTTTATTAAATTTAATAAAAGATTTGATGTGCCATGGGATATAGTAGTATTTTGAAAAGCTAGTAGAACATTAAATTTTTGACTTTTTAATCATCTTGGTGACTTTTTTAGCAAAAAATTAAATTCTTTTAGGTAAAAAAAATTGATTTTTTTAGTTAAAAAAATTAAAAAATCAAAACATTATTTTTTTTTTTTTAGTGTGTTCCCAAAACATCCCATGCTCTAATTCTTGCGTTTTTTAACTCTCCAAAAAAACACCCAATAGAACAGAACAAAGCCGAACTCAGACGGCAAAAAGGTTATATTCATTTCTGACCTTGCAAAACCCGTCATATTCCACCATCTACTTCAATGAAAACTGTAACCACACCCAACCACCCCCCACACCATTACTCTCTCTCTCTCTCTCTCTCTCTCTCTCTCTCCCACTCACTCACCTTATTCATTTGAGAAAAAGATTCCAGATCATAGCCAGCTAATCTTCCAAAACTCTCTAAATCGGGTTTTACTCTAATTTTTTGATCCAATTAAATTCAACCCGGCGGAGATTCGGTGGCATCAATGGCGGACATAGTGAAGCAGATCCTAGCAAAGCCGATTCAGTTAGCGGACCAAGTCATCAAAACCACCGACGAAGCCAGTTCCTTCAAGTCCGAATGCTCCGAACTCAAGTCCAAAACCGAAAAACTCGTCACTCTCCTCCGCCAAGCAGCTCGAGCTAGCAACGACCTCTACGAGCGACCCACCCGCCGCATCATCGACGACACCGACCAAGTCCTCGAAAAGGCCTTAGCCCTCGTCCACAAGTGCCGCGCCCACGGCCTCGTCAAGCGAGTCTTCACCATCATCCCCGCCGCCGCCTTCCGCAAGATGGCTGCGCAACTCGAGAACTCCATCGGCGACGTCTCCTGGCTCCTCCGCGTCTCCGCCTCCGCCGACGACCGCGCCGACGAGTACCTCGGCCTCCCTCCCATCGCCGCCAACGAGCCCATCCTCTGCCTCATTTGGGAACAGATCGCTATTCTCTCTACTGGGTCGCTCGAAGATCGATCTGATGCTGCTGCTTCGCTCGTTTCGTTGGCTCGCGACAATGATCGGTATGGGAAACTTATCATCGAGGAAGGTGGAGTTGGGCCGTTGCTGAGATTGGTGAAGGAAGGGAAATTGGAGGGTCAAGAGAACGCTGCGAGAGCGATTGGTCTTCTGGGTCGAGACCCAGAAAGCGTCCAACACATGATTATTGCTGGTGCATGCAATGTGTTTGTGAAAATTCTCAAAGAAGGTCCAATGAAGGTTCAGGCTGTGGTGGCTTGGGCTGTCTCGGAGCTCGTTGCCCATCACCGTAAATGTCAAGATCTTTTCTCTCAGCACAATATAATTCGGTTACTCGTCAGCCATCTGGCTTTCGAAACGGTTCAAGAACACAGTAAGTATGCCATTACCAGCAAATCACTGGTCGCGGTCGTAGTGGCGAGTAATAATTCAAATACTAATAATAACAACAATCTCAACAAGGCCAATTTGGTGAATGTGAACGACGACGACGATCCGTTGAGTCAAAGTAAAATTTCACATCCTTTGGGCAATAAGCAACCCAATAAGATGCATAACGTGGTTACCAGTACAATGGCCATGAATGCCCAGTCCAAGTCGCAGCAAAACAATCATCTCAAGACCAACAACAACAACAACGCCGCAAAACAAAATTATCAAGTCTACCAACACCACCACCACAATAATCATTCGATTTCAGGGACTATCACGAAAGGGAGAGACTTGGAGGACCCGGCGACCAAGGCCTATATGAAAGCAATGGCTGCAAAAGCCCTTTGGCAACTTGCCAAGGGGAACTCGGCAATTTGCCGGAGCATCACTGAATCGAGAGCGCTTTTGTGCTTCGCGGTGCTCTTGGAGAAAGGACCCGAAGATGTTCAGTACAATTCGGCCATGGCTTTAATGGAGATCACAGCAGTAGCCGAGAAAGATGCTGATTTGAGAAGAGCAGCATTCAAGCCCAATTCACCTGCTTGCAAAGCTGTCGTTGATCAATTACTGATGATCATTGAGAAGGCTCATTCGGAACTTCTTATCCCCTGTATTAAAGCTATTGGAAACCTGGCTAGGACTTTTAGGGCGACTGAGACAAGGATGATAAGCCCATTGGTGAAACTGCTGGATGAGAGAGAAACCGAGGTTTCTAGGGAAGCCTGTCTTGCCCTTGCAAAGTTTGCTTGCTCCGATAACTATCTCCACCTTGATCACTCCAAGGCTATAATCAATGCTGGAGGAGCAAAGCACCTAATTCAACTTGCATACTTTGGAGAACAAATTGTTCAGAATCCGGCTCTGGTTCTCCTCTGTTACATTGCAATGCACGTACCAGATAGTGAAGAACTTGCAGAAGCAAAGGTGCTCACTGTGCTTGAATGGGCATCAAAGCAACCCCACTTGATCCAACAAGACGAAGCGGTCGAGGAATTGCTCCAAGAGGCCAAAAGCAGGTTGGAGCTCTATCAATCCAGAGGAGGTTCAACGGGGTTCCATTGATTTGATTCAATCAACTTGTCAAATTGTTTGTTGTTTGATAGAGTTACCGTTTTACCTTTCTTTTTTGCTTTGTTCATTGTCATGGAGTGTACATACCATTGGTTGTATGCAATTATTAAGGGAAATCCCCAATTGTTTTTATCATTCTTCTGGTTTCTCTTTGGAGTTCGTTAGTTTATGAATGTTATTACCAGTCTGATAGTTCAACAAGGTTTGCATTTGTCTTTCTTAATTGGGAAAATGCACTCTGCATTATCAGTAGATTAAATCAACTTTGGATTAAATAGTTGCAAAAAATGTCTTGTTGCCCATGTGAAAATTGTTTAACACAAACCGCTTTCGAGTGATTCTAAATAGTTAATTTTAATTTGTGTTTGAATCTCGAATTTGTCAAGAAAAAAAATTAAATTTTTTTATAAATTTATGATCCAAACACACAGGCACTAATAGAGAGGAATGTTTCAATTCATACTTATGGGACGATTTCAAACTCAAAAGTTTAAGGTATAGGAATGTTTCAATTACTTATGGGATGATTTCAAACTCAAAGTTTAAGGTAATTTGGTTGGGGATGTAAAATGAAATCCAATCCATAATGCAGCTAAAAGAAGACTATTATGTTATTCTTGTCAACAACCCCTTTTAAAGGCCTCTCTGTCTCTGCCTAGCCAAAAGAAAAGGTAAAATCAAAAGACACCCTTAAGTGTGGTTGGGACTGTTTAAAATACTGCATAATTTGCTAAAATCGTATTGATTTACATCAATTTAGACCACTCTATCCGCTAATTGTCGTTAACTGCAGTTTATACTTTAAAATTTATAATCCGTCTTTGAAATTGCTCCGCTTCGCTATAGTTAATAAATATATATTTTTAACTTATAATGAAATATCAAAGTAAGAATAAGTGTGATAGAGATTTAAAATGTGAAATTTATTACAAATTAGTAGTTATATATATGAAAAATATTATGTAAACTTAGTTTGTGTTATATATAAGAAAAATATTTTGCAAATTAATGTCATATATTATGTAAAGACTTGATAATTAGTTAGAATATTTTTCAATCTGTCAATTCATTCAAAACAACTCAAATCGTAATTTATCAATCTGTCAATCTACTAATCCGTCGTTCAATTTATAATTTTATTGTTAAACCATCTGAATCGTACCTTACACACCCCTAGGTGTGGCTGCCAAAAGTGGAAGACTCAAAAAGAGCCTAATGTGTTTCACACTGGGGAATTTTTTTTTTTTGTTTTTCTGCTTTTGTAATGTTAATACTATTTTTTTTTTTCCATTTATTAATCTATAAGAGGTTATTTATAATATGAAAAGAATTACATTTGGACAATTATAGTCCAACCACTATAGAAGAGCCCTATAGTGAGGGAAAAAATATTAATTCTTGTAAATAAGAATTGATCCTTGACCTTCTCCATAGAATTATACACAAATGACCAACTGAATTAGTTCGGAACGAGTAATACTAAACAAAAAAATATATATATGAAAAATTTAAATATAATAAGCTTACAAAGTTGTGGGTTTATCATTTTGAAACAATGAAGCTGTTAAGATGTATTTTAGTTTCAAAATTGCCAACTTTATATATAATTTTTTTGGAATAAAGTATTTACCTTTCCTATCTCATTTCCCAAGACTAATATGATTTAAAAGAAAAGAAGAAAAAAAAGAGGATAACCATGAATTTGAACTTTGAGAGAAGAAGCTTTAACAGCAACAATTGACTATTATGGCGAATATGGACAAAATGGATATGCAGATCGGCTTATATATTGATCAAGCGACCAGCCACTTTGTCCCTATCATCTACTATTATTTGATCAGTTAACAACAAATAAGGAAGATTAAGCTAAATAAAATACCTTAGTACATTTATCACAGAAAATCAAATCAAGGGTAACAACAATTATGTCATTTTCCTAGAAACTTCTCAATCAAGTTCACAAGGTAAACATACAAAATGCACTAAAAACAAGAAGTATTTGGAATACATACAGCTTTTCGCTGGACAGAGTTGCCATAAAATTTCTTCTTCAATTCCAGCAGTAGAACCCACAACATTGACAGAGATCTGCATGCTGGGACAAAAGACTACAATATTATTGTTCAAATGAACCCACACCCGAAAGCATATCCATATCTATGAAGTCATAAAACATGTGAGTGGGGAGCAAGGGTAACATGGCATGTTGCAACTGTACTTTCTCCCTCCAAATAATACGTTAATAAACAGTGAGAGGGTAATTTTTGTGAAAATTGAACAGAACTGGGAGATGGTCATTATGGCCTACAATACGAAAGGCTGAGTAAAAAGGTCGCAAAGTTACTCCGGCCCGAGAGAGGTACAAAATTACTCCGGTCTGAGAGAAATGTAAAGTTACTCTGGCCCGGAAGCGACTTGGAGTTTGGCCGGTCTTAGAGTTTGTCCGATCATGGCGTATTGTGGTTAGAACGGTCAGAACCTTGCTACTCGGAAGCTCGGTCTAAACACACCATGGGTTGTACATGAGAGAACCGAGATAAGGAGGAGTAAAAGAAAGAACCGAACTACTTATAGTTTGGCCTACTTTGCGGCTCAGCATAGCCATGATTACTTCGGTCATGTTGGAGTTCGGCCATGGTAATAACCATCTCACTTGGTTTAAGCAGTGAGGGGGGTGTTGGAGGATAAGGATTATCCTTCAGGAGGTTAAATCCTAGAAGGACTCTACGTGGAGGAGTAAAAGTCCTAGGATTGTGTCACACGAAACCTATAAAAGCTCACAAACATCACCTTTGAAGAGGTAACACACAACTTTGCTTTCTGAATACACAGAGCTTTGTCTATTTGTCAAGCTTGCTGACTTAGGCATCGGAGAGGTTTCCGGCACACACCCGCCGGCTAGCTCACGTTTGTGTTTTCAGGTGATAAAGCGACGTCGTACGGAGGAGCGCAGACTTGATCAACAGGATTATACGAGAAGGTTTATTTTTTTCCCGTACAATTGGCGCCGTCTGTGGGAATTGCAGACAGAACAAAACCTCTTGACTAAAGCTTCTCCTCTTTACAAACAATGGCACACATTAAAGAATTATCATAGTCCGCCATCGACGGGCAAACACACACTGAAGGAAGCACGTATTGGCCCTCACATACGCACCAAACCAGATCTAGGCAGACGGAGTTACCCAGATCATCCGACTTACGAACCGTGCTCGAAGAAAAAGCACGATGCAAGGAGGATGCTAGGGCACGGGATCCACACAGAGTTTCTGCCTTACAGCGGTTGGCTCTTCGGACGCATGGAAGCGTCGAGGTTGGAATGCCAATACCGCGCCCTGCCTACGAACCAACGGATAAAGCATTAACAAGGCTGCAGACTTCGCCATTTGTTCCGGCGATTGAAAATGCGCCCCTACCATCAGGCTTCCTTTAGCCCAAATTCACTACATATGAAGGGAAGACGGACCCCTACTCACACTTGAGCCACTTTCATCAGGTCATGGCTGTATACAGGCGAAACGAGGCCTTAATTTGCATACTCTTCCCATCTAGCCTTGGCGACCTAGGCTTGACTTGGTTCGAGAAACTTCTAGAGGGCAGCATAGCCTCTTGGGCGCAATTGGCAGAGGCGTTCGTAACAAGGTTCCGAACGACCACTAAAACCCCGGTGGAGATTGACCAATTGCTCTCCATCGACATGGGCGATAAAGAGACCCTAAGATCCTACAATAGTCGCTACTGGGAGACATTCAATCAGATTAGGGACTGCCCCACCAATCTTGCCATTGCGCAGTATAAAAGAGGCCTTCCAGTCGGGAACAGACTAAAGGACTCGATCACCATGACGCCACCCCTCACCATGGAAGCCTTGATGGAAAGAGTACATCAGCACATCAGGGTGGAAGAGGATGGCGCACGTGCCAAAGCAAAATATGGGGCGACCACAGTACCAGAAAAAAAGACCTCAGCGAAGGTTAATACGGTAGATCAACCGAACAGAAATGGACGTAACAGACGAGATAACGGAGAAGACCCGGATAAAAGATGGTTGAGAATCCGCACTGCCATAACCACGGTATTCAAGAAACCGATATATCGGATTCTAAGCGAAATAAGAGATGAGCCTTTCGTCAAGTGGCCAACCAAGCTGGGAGAAGCACAGAAAGACTACGACGAAAGATCGCGGTGCACCTTCCATAAAGAAAAGGGGCACCGCACTGAGAATTGCACACCATTAAGACAGCACCTGGAGGAATTGGTGGCGGCAGGTCACTTGGATAAATACATTGAAGGACGGACGCAACCAGAGACTGAGGACCATAATAACCCCAATGGGATGCCAATCGACGCCCCGCCTCAAGGCATTATCAATGTGATTCATGGAGTTTTCGAACCTGAGCGTGTATGCAAGCTCAGGAGATCAATCAAAAAGGCTGAACACTTAAGAGAGGTGCTAAGTGCCCAACCTGCCATCAAGAAGGGGAAGACAGAAGCCACAAACGTCATGTCCTTTTCAGATAAAGACTTAGAACGGATATATTGCCCTCACAATGACGCCCTGGTCGTCACTCTCCGAGTCAAAGATTTTGACGTCAAGCGGATTCTGATTGACCAGGGTAGTTCATGTGAAATCATGTACTACGAAACATTTAAACAACTGAAGCTACAAGACAAAGACTTGGCACCTGCTGTATCTCCCCTAATTGGATTCAACTCCATGCCAGAATGGCCCGTCGGCAAAATAATTCTTCCAGTTAGAGTAGGAAGCGTGACGAAACAAGTGGAGTTCTGGGTATTGAAGGTCCCCTCCATTTACAACATCATCCTGGGCAGAACATGGCTGCATGCCATGCGATCGGTGGCGTCATCCTACCACCAAGTAATTCGGTTCCCCAACGACATCGGTGTAATTGAAGAAGTCTATGGAGTTCAAATCATGTCGAAGCAATGCTTCGTCACGGTAAATGGCAGTCGCGCTGCCAAAGGATATGTTCATTCGGTGGAAGAACCTGAGAGTAATGAGCTATTCGCAGATGTCGGCAAAGCGGCGGATCAGAAAGCAGTGGAGGACTTGGTAGAGGTAAAAATAGATGAAAAGAACCCGGATAAGTTCTTTTTGCTCGGTTCGTCGCTGTCCAGCACTGAG